TCGGGCCTGGGCCCGCGCCGCCCCTGGAAGGTGATGTTCAACGTCCACTCCCTCGGCCTCCCGCCGAGCGTCGCGGAGGCGATCCGCCGCGTGAAGACTAACGCCGCCTACTTCCGCGTGAACTACGCCATCGTCGTCCTCGTGATCCTCTTCCTCAGCCTCCTCTGGCACCCGATCTCCCTCATCGTCTTCGTCGTCATGATCGCCGTCTGGCTCTTCCTCTACTTCCTCCGCGACGAGCCGCTCGTCGTTATCAACCGCACGATCGACGACCGGATTGTACTGACCGTGCTCTCCGTCCTGACGGTCGTCCTCCTCCTCCTAACGCACGCCACCGTCAACATCCTGTCGGCGCTGCTGACCGGCGCCGTCGTGGTAGTCGTCCACGCCGCCATCAGGAAGAGCGACGACCTGTTCTTGGACGAGGAGAATGCCGGATTGTTGACCGGTGTGGGCCCTGGATCTTCTTCTTCTTAATTCTGATCTAGAAGTCTCTTCTTCCTCTTATTTAATTTTATTTTTTTTTCCTCTGTAATTTTTCTTATTTCTCGGGTGTTAATTGAAGGTGTAATGTGTATCAGTAATTTTTTTTTTCCTTTTTTGAAAGAATTGTTGGCCAATTTGTGGTAGTTCTTCTTCTTCTTGTTGTTCTTTGGGAAAATATGTTTTTCCAAGGATTTGATGAGTCACTTGCCTGGGTGTTGGTATGTTGGGTATCATTGGCTGGTTGATCATGTCGTTTTTCTTATGTGATTTATCAATTAAGGCCTCTGTCTATGCTTCTCGGGTGTCTACTTGGCCACGTAATGTCGTATGATTGGTATTGTACAAATTTGTGAAGAATTATGCCCTGCAACGGACAATAACGACCTTTTGAATATCTTGTTTTTTTTTCGCATTTACTTTTTAATTGATAAAATACGGTAGAAATATTACGATTTAAAAAAAAAAAAAAAAATTATCGCTAATAGTGTATCTTTTTTCACACTTCATACGGCATAACATCAATCTTATAATGTTGTTCAAAAGCAAACTTTACTTCAATAATATTTATACATATAGAGATTCCCAATTATTTATTTAATAGATACTGATCTAAAAAGGAGCATAATTAGATAGGAAGCGTAACAATGGCTTGAAATCCATAGAATAGAATAGTAAGATATTAACTGGTGGAAGACCTATTCTCCAAAATAAATAAATAAATAAAACATAAAACGGGGGAAGACCTCCTTTCGTATTGCACGGTATTAGATTAGAATAGATAATATTACTATATTAAAAGGGTTTTCTGTTAAGATAAGTTCAGAATATTAATAGAAACATATAAATATTAAACAAGGCCTTCACATGTTATCATTATTACCTACTTTATAATGAAAGAACTTTCATTGAGATGTGATATTTTTTTTAGAGCTTTTAACCGTAGCAGAAAAAATTAGATGTGACATTTTCTGATAATTTTTAAGTGTAGAAACTTAAAATTAAAAATTCAAATCGGTGAAATGAACGAAACTAATAAAAGAAAAAAATAATAACTGCTTTTAGTCAATATACTTTTCATAAATTGATAAGTTGCCCTTTAATGTGTTTAACTTTAGAAAACAACACTATCATTTTATCAAAGTTTTTAACATTGTTTGAAATCGATGAAATTTATAAAAAGTTGAAGGGAAATACTTTCTTAATTTAAAATTATATGCTCAACAATCAGGCGAAATTTTTAGTTTCTACCCTCAACAACAACAAAAATTTAATAGTGATTGTTGATTTAGAGACCTCTAAAAATTTTGTTAAAAATTTAGGAAATTATCAGTCAAAATTCAAAAGTTTAGAGATTACTTTTCAATTTATAGAACTTTTAGAGGTAAATATACCAAATGCTGATAATAATAATAATAATAATTAAATCAAATCAAATCAAATAGGTTCTTTTTTCAAAAAGAAAAAAGGAGTTTTGAGCACAATTGATCTCAAAACCTGTCATAATTTAACAAATTATAGTCTAAATTTTAATTTTGATAGTTAATTTCAAATTTATAAAATTATTACAATTGTACTATTTTAATAAAATTTACTCAAGCTTTTTTATTAGATTTAAAAAATTAAAAATTAAAAAATTAAAAAATTTGTGTTATATATTAATTGAGATGTTATAATTTTTCATCAAACGTACTTTTTAATAATAATTTGACACAAGAGTATCCACCAACACCTCCGCCACCGCAACGAACACCAGCACCGCCGCCACCCCTAGTAAATGGCTCACCCGCCGTACGAACCGTACTACCTCCACCACCAACAGCCACCGCCCATTCAGGACTCCAAGGACCGCAACGCCATCAACACTCTCTTCGTCTCCGGCCTCCCCGACGACGTCAAGGCGCGTGAGATTCACAACCTCTTTCGCCGCCGTCCTGGCTTCGATTCTTGCCAGCTCAAGTACACTGGCCGTGGCAACCAGGTTGCTTTCTCTTTTTGTCTCTTCAGGGATTTTTACTGTTTGGTCGACGGGAAAGGAGACTGGAAAACGGGAAGAAAACTATGACGATGTTTCAATTTTAGTTTTGTTTTATTTTAATTTCAGGTTGTTGCATTTGCTACGTTTTTCAATCATCAATCAGCAATGGCAGCACTTCATTCGTTAAACGTGAGAATCGCATTTTTTTTTTCTGTTTTTACTGAGAAAGTTCGTTTCTTTATTTCGTAATTCGCCTAATGATTCGAATGAATTTTTTTTTCCTAGTTCATTTTAATTTATGTTGTTTCCCAACATCTCGTAATTCATTTATTAGAAACCAGAAATTTTGGCAGATAAAGGTTATACACTGTATTATGTAGTTGTAGTTCCTAGTTTGAATGACTAGGAATTAGGGTTGAGTTAGTGCTCAGCAATCAGTATTTTCCAATTCAATCACTTAAGATGTTGAATGACCCAGTTGGGAGATGGTAATGTCTGAAGGTTTGTATAATAATTTTGTTCTTTTCTTTTCTTTCTTTCTTTTTTTTTTTTCCACGATCAGGGTGTGAAATTTGATCCCCAAACTGGATCCGTTCTACATATAGAACTTGCCAGATCAAACTCGCGAAGAAAACGGAAACCGGGTAGATCATTACTTACTATTGTAGCTTTTCATGTGTAGGATTTGAATTCGTGATTTCTTTTGTTTTGATATTTGGAGCTCTCCCTTTGTCAGACTACCAACTGATCCTGTCATTGTACAGGTAGTGGACCTTATGTTGTTATAGATAAAAGAAGTAATGCAGAAGAGGGTAATGATAATGCCCACGAAGCATCTACTGATGATGGTAATGTTCTCTTCAAGCTGTAAAGTTTAGTGAAATCTAGACTTCATCATGTTAGTTTCCTTTCTCGACTTTGCATCCGAACAGTAATTGCCATTTTGCCTTATAACTGTGCTTTCTCATATTCAGGAGACAGTGAATCTGATGAATCGTCTGATGGCGAGAAACATGATTCGGGGGAGAAGGGGGATTTAGTGACGTCAAAAAGGTTAAAACTTGAAATGAAAGCACTCAGAGAGCACTGTAGTTTGTGTTGGAATATCCAATTCTATGAACTTAAACTTCTCAATTTCTCGTATTTGGACTGCAAAAGAAATTTTTCATAATTGCAAATCTCATAGCTGTCTAAGTCTTACTTGTTTGGTAATGTTATTTTATGTCATGGCAATTCTCATAGCTCCCAAAGTCTTACTTGTTTGGCAATGTTACATGCAGTGGTGAGACGGTGGTCGATTCCAACAATGCCGCTGCTGCCGTAAATGTATGTGAAATTTGAAATTGTGATGGGATATTGTGGAATTTTAGATTGCGTGGTGTTGTAATTCTTAAGCTATTTACAACCCTCTCCACCTTTCTTCCCATTTACTTTTACTTGGTATTTCTTTGAGGTATAATTATTTCAGAGTAGATATCTTGACCAGCATTATTCAAAGTTTTTTGGAGTTGCATCTTTCTTTCTTTTTTTTTTTAGATATTTTTTTCCCTTTCTTTTGTTTTATATGTTGGATGCTAGTTCCAATTGGAGATCAACGTGCATCACTGACTTAATGTGTTTTGAGTCTGATCTGTCTTTCAATTGGCAGTCTAATAAGCAGCAACCCGAAAAACCTGTTGAAGGCGGCCCATGTTCCACTCTGTTCTTCGCAAACCTAGGTCCAAATTGCACTGAAGATGAACTGAAGCAAGTTCTGTCTCAGTAAGTAGCTTTTCTCGTCAATCCTTGACATATCTTTCTGTGTCCCCTTTTAGCCCTTCTACGTAGGGAGGAAAAGGATTGGGAATTGGTCCAATAATGGCTCAATTCTCTGGTTTTGATTGGTATCTACTTTCTGCCCTTTTCCTTGGACACAATAGAAACTGCTTGTGTCACGTATGATTGTCTTTATCATTCGGTGAATATTTGACTGGAAACTTGGTGGCTTCCTTTTATTTGGTGCTAGGTATCCTGGATTCACTATGCTCAAATTACGTGCCAGGGGCGGAATGCCAGTTGCATTTACTGATTTTGAGGTATTACAAAGCCTCCCCCTTGAAAACTCTCATTCAAATTTTAATTTACTGTTCACACCTCTTGCTTGTTGTTTGAAAACCAGTCCAAGAAAATGGCATAACTTTGAGGGCATATACAAAGCAAATGTAATTAACATTTTCAATTTTTCAGCATCTTAAAACTGAAGAAAGCCATCCGTGCCATCTGTTTCAATGTTTGCTTGGGGAAAAACACTAATATCTTTTAGTATCACTTTTAACATACTGTAACTGAACTATAGCTTCCAAACACAAACGAGAAACATATGAATGACAATAAGGAGCCCAAAAGGAAAAGGGGAAGTCAAGGACGCACTAATTCATGAACCTGGTTTGTCTGTGGCAGGAACTCGAACAAGCTAACAAGGCCATGGAGGAACTTAGTGGCACAATGTTGCCGTCATCTGACCGGGGTGGCATGCACATAGAGTATTTTTCTTCTCTTAGACTCATATACACCTTGCACATTTTCTTTACTATTAACTCAACTTTTCCTTTTTCTTTTTGCTGTGTCTGTCTAGATATGCAAGGTCTAAAATGAGAAGGACGTAGAAGAAACCGGGCGGTACCAATAAAAGAAGAATCGCGTGTCTTCAGGGTAATGAGCTGCAGCTTCCTACTTCTTAAAGCTACTGAAGACTGGGAGGCCAAGGACTTGGCTGAAAATACTTGTAGTTGTTAACAGCGCCTTCGTTTTGCAAATATATGTACTTTCTGACGTTGTCATTTAGTTACATTTTAGAGATACCATGTTACTTGCATCCACAATTTTTCCTAGGACAGCCGTCTTGGAGAATGCTTTGTATAATCCAAAGGAAGGCAGATATTTATTAGCCTTATATTGATACTTTTTCATGAATTTTCTGACAAGAAAAATTAAAAAGTCATTTTTTTGTCACTTTTTACATTTATTATTAGTTATTAGACATGTGAATTACATTAACGTGATATGTTATTATTTAAATAAAAAATAATATAGTTGAGGTTATGTGTTAAATAGTAAATGTATAAAGTGACCGAATGACAAAAAATGACACTAAAATTTCTTTCCGGCAATAAAAATAAACTTCTAATTTCATTCTCTTCGTCGTCCGAAAAATAAAGTTCTTTCAACCCTGAGAAGACCTCAGCCAATCCAACCAAGCATTAAAGATAAAAGGGTGATTATCGAAAAAGAATCACAAAAAAAAAGGGACAAGTGAAACCCAACAAATCTCAATACAACTCATTTCCATCCTCACGATCAACAGTAACATTATTTTCCCGTTAGCATTGTAGTGGGATGTGAGTGAATTGGCAACTAAAAACATTAAAACATCAATCATTTCACCGATTAAAATTTTTAATTTTATTATAATTAAAAATTCCTATAAAAATTACGTTTAATTTTTTATTACAATAAAAAAATTCACATAAAATCACATCTCAACTCAAATTTAAAACTTAAATCTTAGCTCAAATTCAAAACTCAAATTAACCTACTAGCGAGACCTAATAATATTTAACATAAAGACTAGGATTATCCAGCCTGAGATGCATTATTTCCCTTCCATCACAAACATACCCGAAAAGAGAGGAACACTGGACACTTGTATTCTAGAGAAAGATATATTCATCAAGTTTCTCAATATAATCAAAACGTTAATTTTCCTTCATTTTCAAAAGAATTACAAAAACTTGACATTTTCCGCTTCTACTATACAGAAAAGCAAAATCTAGTGGCAAGAGACAAAAATATAAAGCAAAAAAACAAAAAACAAAAACAAAAGTGGTAAATACATATTCAGCATTGCAAAGCTGCGGCCCTAAATAGGCGAGCACTCTACAGATGATCTTCACATGAAGCCCTTGCCTTGGCTCTCTCCCAAAAACCCGACCTTAAACTGTCAAGAGAGAGCTTCCCACTGAACTCTTCCAGCGTCTCAGCACCAGCCAGGGAACTACTGTATTGTTGGTGCTGCTGATCCGACCAAAGACGACCACTCTGGCTTCCCACGTCATACCCTTGCGTCGACGTGAAGCTTGCCTCCATAACCATGTCGCCCTCTAATATACGAAGCACCTTCAAGAACATAAAACAAAGATAGACATGAACATTCAAACAAATTAAGACCTCGTTCATTTCACCAATTCGAGTTTTCAATTCTAATTTTGTTACAGTTAAAAACTCTCACAAAAAGTCACATCTAACCTTTTTACTACAGTGAAAAACTTACATAAAATCACATCTCAACTCGACTCAAAAACCCAAATCCGCGAACTGAACGAGACCTTAAGCTCTAATATTAATAACAAGAGTATAAGAACATATTGTGCAACATAGGTATAGAGGTTCTCTTCACCTGTGACATGCGAGGCCTTGATTGGGGATCCCGACGAATACACAAGGATGCGGCATGCAACATGCAATAAACCTCCTGTTCTGAAAATTGATTTCCCAGCCTTGGATCGATAAGTTCATCAACAGCATAATCTTCTAATAATGGTCGTGCCTGTTATAGAAATACATCTTGTTGTCATGTTATTCAACCCCTAATATTTTGGTACGTAATACCAGAGGCTAAGAAGCAAAATTCAACAATAAACAAGAACCAAGACACTTACCCATTCAGTGAGACATTGCTGACCCTTGGGACGATTCAGATCCACTGCTTTTCGGCCTGTAACAAGCTCCACCAGTACCACCCCAAAGGAATAAACATCAGCTTTTTCTGTGATTTGACCGCTTTGAGCATATTCTGGAGCTAAATACCTACATCGCAGAGAAAGAACTGTTAACAACTGCAAAAAAGATGGTTAAAAAAAGGGCAGCAGTAAAGGCTATCATCAAGGCTTACCCGAATGTCCCAATAACTCTTGTTTCCACACCAGTATCGCCATCAGGCTGCCACCTTGCTAGGCCAAAGTCCCCGACCTTACAAGAAAGGTAAAATAAAGATCACTACTTGTCTATAAACACAAGGGAAAGGAAATCATTAAGGTCCTATTGTATTTTGAGGCACGAGGAAAGAAAACCATTGAATACAACATTCCCATTCCAATTAAGTAGAAAGGCGATTAAGAAATTACTATACCAGTGGTTCAAAATCATGCGTGATAAGGATGTTGTTCGGTCGCATGTCACGGTGGACTATGCAACCGACTCTGCATTCTTCGTGGAGATATCGCAGCCCTCGAGCAGCTCCCACGGCAATTTTTTGCCGCGCAGACCATTCTAACGGCTCTCGACGTTGCCCTGTAACACAATCAAGTTCTTCACAAATCCAAACCTTATTTATAAATAGCAAATGCTAATCTGTTTAAAATTACTGTAATCGATAATAACAAGCTAGTTACGATAACAACAATAATGTTGGAGAATGCAGAGAGAATTTATCATGTATTTCCGTCAAGTTACTTAAGAACGGCATTAAGTTTTCTGGTCTTGGAGGAAGAAAGTTTACCATACAAATGAGAATCCAGTGATCCGTTGCATATATATTCATAAACCAACAATCTTCTTCTATCCTCAATACAGAAGCCAATCAGCATAACAACATTGCGATGCTGCGCACAACTGAGGACTTCTACTTCTGAGCAAAATTCGAGGTCCCCCTGAGAACTAGCTAACTTATGCTGCTTCACAGCAACAGCCTGACCATCAGGCAGCACCCCTCTGTGAACGGAGCCAAATCCTCCTTCCGCCAAGAAATTGGCTTGCGAGAACCCACCAGTCGCTAGCTCTAACTCAGCATAGCCGAACCATCTTGGAGGCTTTCCAAACACGGGAGCTTTGTGTTGACATATTGAGCATAATGGTGGCGGCCCAGGAGGCGCATTTCTGGATAGTGAGATTGCTTCTCTTACATTTCCACTGAAGTCCACATTACCTCTGTAGTTTGGCATTCCAACCCCAGCCTCTCCATCAGGTTTCTTGAACTTGTCTTGCAGAGCTTTGGCCGATGATGCTTGGAGCTTATCAACATATTTGTGAGATCTTTCTTCTATGCGCAGTGACGTTTGGCTATGGGAGTTTAGAAAATCAGCTATCCATGGTTGGAACCTCAAACTAGCCGAGGACATGGATAAATTCTCGCTCTCAGAATCTGAAGTAGTATCACCGATATCTTGGCTTTCTTCAGTAATAAAAGATTCCTCTTTCTTTAAATCATTTATTTCTGAAATGAAAAGCGGTGAAGTTCCTGGATCTGAATTTGACACTGATGAAGTTCCAGCTTCAGTCGCAGTAAATGGTGTTCCTAGCTCTGGACTGCTAGTCGGAGTCACCACAGGCCCCCGGACAGAATCTGAAGAATCAACCTTCTTTTTGGGACGCTTTTCAGACCCTTCATCAAGCTCAGAAGGTAATTGACATGAGGATTCAGGCTCCTTCTTAGGTGACCCGTTCAAATTCAAGCGAAGAACTTTTGGTTGTGAGCGTTTCATAACCACAATGTTGCACTGCAGTTCTTCCATGCAGCGTTTTTCCTCTTGTTTAAGATGTCTGGAAAAAAATGATTAAAAATGGTAAAAGAAGATAAAAGAATCAGTGAGCCTAAGCAAGAAAGCAAATTTTAATTTAAAATTATAAATCAAGAAGTTAGATAAAACGAAGACCATTACTTGTCTAGCACAACCCAACTGGCCTGAGCTTTCTTGGCCTCACCAGCAACTGCTCCACAAGGCGATCCATAGACAATCTTTATCTTCACATTTATCTGTAAACATGAATCAGTATAGAATTCATGGATGCAACATGAATGGAACTAAAAACCACAAGGCATTAACAACAGAGCACTAACTTTATTTGGATCATAAACATCATGAAGCTGAAGGATCATCTGAGAGCATGAATCTGTAATATCATACTTTTGTTCCGAGGTTGTTCCTGACTGGGACTTCCGACTGCCGCTGGCACAGTCCCCCGCAAATCTTGGGAAGCCCCATAACTTTCTACCTGAAGAATTGAGAAAAGTTATCGTTTAAATTAAAATAAACTCCAAGGCAGGTATTCAGTCAAACAAGCCAATGACCTAGGAGGAAAAAACAAAGAACACTCCTGATCGTTCATGATGCGCCCGTAGAACTAAATAACTTCTGTAAAGTTCTGTAAACAGTAACAGTATCGCCTAGCAAGTCTTCCAATTACATCATTACTATAAGTACAACAATGATTACAAAAAGATTATCCCCTTGGAAAAATAGGAAACCAATACAGAAGTTTTAAACAAAATGTTACCTGAACTCTGTGAAGGGACAACCACAAGAAGTGTTATGCAGTCCCCGGGTTGGACAACATGCGTCAATGCCCATACAAGAGCGGTCTTGGGAATTTCCTTAGACGCCTTAACAGCAACCACAACTTTCTCGGCCACATCGGAGGACCCTTTCTGCTTCTGTTCTCGACTCATGAGCACCACAATTTTTTGACTATTCTACCCCAATTCCTAGCTAATAACAGAAACAATCCTCAAACCCTCAGAAGCTCATATTTCAAAAACTATGAGAAAGACCATCCCAACTAGGAAGTTTGCACAATTACCTTGCCCCCACCAATCACCATTAATTCCCAGACATGTACTACCGACATGCTCAGCATTCTCCCTCTGGCAACTATAGAGAAACTCCAAATGACAGACTTTTTTTTCTCTTTCTAAATTTTTCCTTTGGCAGAAAATGGTCTTTTCCCAACTTCTCCTAGCCAGAGAACTCTTGAATGAATATTCCGAAATGGGTTACAACAGCCTCATGAGATCTCATTAGGTTACCCTTTTGGCTCTGCAAGCAAGACACAAGATTCTCTGTCCAAAAATCTGTAAAAATTTCAATTTTGCAGATTCTGACCTCCCTAGTGACCAAAGAGAATCGAAAAAACTGTTTAGCATGAGAATGAAGGAAAAAACACAAAAACAAGACGACACACAAGTTAAACAACGAGAGCTTTCGATCTCTTGTATAACGCTATCCTTCAATCAAAATCCAGACCAGTCAAAACTGGTGAAAGAAATAGTTCAAAAGAGGGTAAACGACAGAACTGCTTGCGTGAATTCTCGATCCAACTCAGATGGGTCTTTCTCCAAACAGATTAAAAAAGCGTAGACAACAGATTCCCACATCAAAACATCCTTCCAAAAACTATCAAATCATCAGACACATAGTTGAGCTAGAGAAGAGAAGAGACTTTTGTAGCGTAAAACCCCACTAGTTTTTTTTTTTTTAGTTTGAAATATAAAAAAAAAAAAATTATGTTTGAAAATGATGCTTTGGCCACAAGATTTAAAATAAGCGTAAAGCGTCAGTTGAAAAAGAAGAAAGAAAGAAAGAAAGATACCAAAACCAACATTTCTATACAAAATTCCGTTACTCAACTCTTTTTCCTTTCTTTTTTTTTCCCCTCAGCAACCAAACAAAAACAGTAATATAATATCGATAATATAATATTTATTACATTACAAACACGTAAAAATGCTAAAAATCTCCTACCCAACAATCACCAAAAGAGAGAAGGAAAAAACAAACAAATAAGAAAATATCAGAAAACCCAGTAAGTGCCAACCTGGATTGAGAAGAGCATTTTTTTCAGAGCAACTACTACCGCATCAACGCATGACCCACCACATGAAAATCATTAAAAACCGCGAATCTTTCGTAAACAGAACTCCACTCGCTTTAACTAAAATGTCTATCGAACCCAACAGGCAAAAAACACCATTAAATTACGGTTTGCGTTTGTTGGGTCTTCTTCTTTTCTTCTTCCTCTTTCACGTCAGAGCGAACGCAACACAAAGACGCCAAACGAGTACGAAAAAGAGAAACAAAACAAACAAACGGAAAACAGAGGACTTGAGACTGAAAGTTAGAGAGAGAAAGAGAGAGAGACCCGCCAAAAGAGCGAAACAAATTTAGGGTTCTTCTTCAGGAACTGCAACACCACCAACAGAAACCAAACCCCACCTCTAAAGATTCTCCGGAAGAAAGAGAGATTTTTAGCGTGAAATTTTTTCTTTTTTTTTTTTTTCCTTTTCTTCTGAGAATGTGTTTCTCTTGTCTGAAAGTAGACAGTGAAAAGAAGAAAATGGAAAGTGACAATTGGAAACAAGGAAAAAAAATATGAAGGAAAAAAAAAGAGAAATTTCTACAACTTAATTAAGGCGAAATTAATTATTTATTTATTGTAGAAATACAGCGACAGACCCACCAGCCCAGCCTGTGAGAACTCTCAGATCAGTGTCATAAGATTTTTACAGTGGATCGCCGTCGCGGGGCCGATTTTCCGATAATGCCCCTGTATTTATACATTTTTACGATTTCGCCCGGTTTCAGCTTACCACTACACAAAAGTTAAAGAACAGACCAAGGTCAGGCAAATGAGCACTTACTTTCAAGAAAAAAAATATTCTAAAATACAATGCATTTAATTAGTGTATTCGTGTCATAATTCAAATCATGATTCGTGATTTGCTATAGTATTTTCTGACCCCAAAAATACTCGTAAATTAAAAATAGTTTTGAATCATGATTCTGAATTCATGAACCAAACAGTTTTATTTTACCGATTCGAGTTTTTAATTTTAGTTTTATTATAATTAAAATTTCTTACAAAAAGTTATATTTAACTTCTTTGCTACAGTTAAAAATTCTCACATAAAGTCACAACTTAACTCAAATTAAAAACTCAAATCGGCGATCTAATTTAAGAAAAAAATGGAAGAAAATATCTAAATTATTTTATTCTACAATTGCCACCTTGGTATAAATTAAGTAAATGGGGTATGATTAGGTTCGATATGGTTATTGATATACTATTTGTTTATTAAAAGTTTTCTTTCCTTTTATAAACTAGACTAGAAGAATTTAAAGTTGATAGATGTCAATTATCATGGATTTACTTATAGGTGAAAGTTCAAGTTGGTCGGCCCTGATTATGGAAATTAGAGGCCGAGTCGGCCCAATTTAATAAAATTTCAGGCTCAAAACATCGACCCGACCTAAAAATTAGGGTCAAATTCGGGTTAATAATAGTGAGTCTCATATTAGCTCGTTTGACCTCACTTAAATTTTCAGCTATAGATTTACTATAATTTGTCCTTAATTCTCTTTACCAAACAATCCAACACTCTTTTTTCTTGAAATGTGATTCTCAAATTGCTTTCCTCTTTGGGCACTCTACTAGACAATAGACATAGGCAAAAAGGCAGTGATGTGTTTCTACGACGTCGTTTGGTTTATTGTAGACTTCAAAAAAACTTGTGGGCGCCCTATAAAAGTTGTGTTTTGACTTATGGCTGTGTCTTTTTGTATCCACCTAACATAATATCTATCCCAATACTCAAAACATAGGTGGCACAAACAACTATGGAAGTGTTGAAGAGGATTTGGAGTTCGAAATTCATGGGGCCCACTTATTCTTCTTTCACTTTCTTCTTTTTTTTTTTTTCTACTTCAAATTAAAGAGTATTATGTTTAAATAGGTACCAATAGGATTATTAGGGGTTGTTTAGTTGGGAGATTCATACTCTGAATCATAATTTATGATTTATTATAATATTTTTTTTATAAAAAATACATATAAATTAAAAATAATTTTAATTTCATGATTTTAATTTATAAACTAAACATCTCCTTAATGTTTAAATAGGTACCAATAGGATTATTAATGTTTAAATAGGTACCGAGAGGAAGAGGTAAGGTTATTAATGTTTAAGATTGAGTATAGGTGAACTTAGTATGTATCCCATCAACATAAATGACCTTAGTGTCCTTTAAAAAGATGCTATCAGTGTACTTTGGAGTTTGGAATAATTAACTCTTCACCTACCCAAGGAGTTTTTTTTTTTTTTTTTTTTTTTTGATAATTACCCAAGGAGATTTTGAATGATTTAAGACACAAGTGTTGGGTAAATAAATGTGTTATAAATGAAGTTGTTTTAGGGGTGCCCAATTAGAATAAAATAAAATGGCATAGGATCCTAGTGTCCTTAAAATTTGGGTAATTCAATGCATTAGGCTTAAATTTTTTAGTACAGAATTTGGTGTTGCCACTTTTGGTAACATAAATTGAGACCTCTCATGACAGAGATTGTCCTAAAACTGAAAATGAGTGAACTAGCCTAATTATCTGTACTTACTCTAAATGGTGCACTAATTATGCAGCCTTAATTGAAGAAATGTACCAAATTATATTGCGTTAATCCTGTGCATTACATTATATTGTCGTCGGTTATTACCTGTTACACATTACTATATTAGGAAGCACAATAATTCCATTCCAAGCCAAAAACAACAGGACATTTCCTTTCTATAACAAGTGCATTATTACCTTCGATAGTGATCTAATCTAATCTTTAAAAAGAAAGGAAAAAAATAAAAATAAAACACATAACTCAATGCAAAGAATCTGAATTCACTGTAGTATTGCCACGTGTAATCCTTAGCCATTTATGGACTTGTTTTTTTTTACCAATCGAAATCATGAGAGTCCCAAAATCGTGAATAAATACAAAACCCTGCCCTCTTGTCACGGCCAATTAATAATGACCATACATACATACACACACAAAATAAATAAAAATTATCGAAAGACTCGGCCAATAAATGCCAAAGCGTGAAGCTCACCCTCAGCTCACGTTAGCATTCAATAGATTACTCCTTCGTCCCAGGCAACCCAACCCCACAACACTCTTGTGGGTCCCACTTTTCTGATCCCCACACTATTGTAGGCCCCACACAGGACGATCCACCCACTCACTCGTTGTTTCCCGTCACCGTAGTCTGTCTGTCACCGTCGTCGGGGACCGTTTTCCAAATGCGGAGAGACCGCCGTCTTTGCCTCTTGTCACCTACGGGGTAGATTAGCCTGGCTCCCCTTAAGGTTGTCGTACAAAACGACAGCGTATTGAAGATTACGTGCTCTCCTTTGGCGCCACGTATGGCGGATCGTGTCTGTTCACTGCTTTCGAACCTCCGAAATACTTGTTTATGTTTATCGAGGAGAAGATTATCATTAATTAATCCGGTCTTTTTAACCCATTTCACTTCGTTACAAATATTATACACCAACACTATGTACTTTTTTTTTTCAGTTCGGATTATTTTGTCGTTTTGTTTTGATTATTTAAACTTCAATAATTGATCAATTAATGTTGAAGGCAAGAATGACTCATCCTCAATATTCTCTTCTAATTGCTAGGGCTTAATCTTCCATGTTTCTTTTTTTTCCATTAAAATTAATTGATTTGTTGTGTTAATAAAAAAAAGTACCCGCCTACATTTTTTGACGCGTGTTGGAAAATGTCATTAACCAATTGTTTTATGTTAATTCAAAAATAAAATTTACGAGATTGTTCTGTTTGTACCTGCTCTTTTTTTTTTTTTTCCTTTTTATGGATAAATCACAAATTAACAAATTAACTCGAACCTAAAGAACGAGTTTGAGTTGCCTATAAATAGGTTTGGATTAACTTAATTACAAACCGTCATGTTCGAGCTAATTTTTAATAAAATGATATGAATTTATGTAATTAAAGTTTCGTTCATTTCCCGATTCAAGTTTAGAATTTGAGTTTTTTTACAGAAAAAAATTTTAAAAAATAGTTACATCTAATTTTTCTATTACAGTAAAAACTCTCACATAAAATCACATCTCAATTCAAATTAAAAACTCGAATCAATAAATTAAACGGATGTGTCGTTACAATTTAATTGTATGGACGTGATGAATATGAAAAGTTTATATGATTTATCAAATAAAAACACTGTCAATTTTCAATCTAGTAATTAAACTTCATTTATTATTAAAAAAAATCAATACATGTGTAAAAACGTATCATAATCCTAGCAATAATAATGTGAAATGAGTCATAATTGTGTTAATTGGCATGATAAATTTGTTGTGTTTGAGTTGACAATTTTTGACACATTAAAAGTAACCGTGCTTAAGATTTCTTTATGTGATTAATGAATAGATTGATATAAACACGATATGTTAACACAAATTGGCACCTTTAAATCGAGGAATGCAAAGTTTGTTTCATTCACAAGAATAATTTAAGAGCATATATTTATTCTCCACGGGAATTTGGAGGATTTAGTATAGTATTTTAAATGAAATGGGGAAATTATTCATCTCATTACAATGTAATCATTTGTAATCTATCTTATAATAATTTAGGTAAATATTTTTAATTCAATCTAAACCATTCAAAAATAATCAGACGATTATGAGAAAATACCATACGGATAAGAAGTTACTTTAAACTATTGTACTTTATAATATACTTATGAGTTGATTACACGAATGAAAATTGTAATTTTATCTAACTTTTAAAAGTTGTATTCCAAGTAGGATATTTTTTTTTCTTTCAATTATTCATTTCTAAATTTTCATTGAATCAACCTAATTCCACGGACAATTAAAGATAGAGTGATCATATTTTTCTTCAATTTCATTTATTGGTTGATCTTTAACTATACTCTCTAGTCATCATCGACTATGATAACTATCACCATTTTGCCCCAACTACACACGCTCTAAAAGCATAATATATTGTAATTAAATGAAAAATTAACAGTAAATAAGTAGTTACCTTGGATATTTATTGTTTAGGTTCCATAATTTATTCGTAAGAGAAGGCTTCCTGCTCTTTTTTTAGCAAGAAATAAATAAAACTTGCTAAAATTTGAGAAATCAAATATAAATGCATTAAACGGGTTTAGTGGACCGACATTGACATGCTCTGTATTTTTTTTTAAGAAAAAATTTTGAGACGTGATTTGCGCGGAGTCCTAAAATGATGGATTGCTATTTCCTTGCATAAAATAACATGAAAGATAAATGTGCATAAGGATTTGAAAGTTGTATATTAAATAGATTTTCAATTGCACAAACAATGAAAAGGCGTGTGCATGCCATGCACGTCCAAATACTCTTTTTGTTCTCTTCTGAATTCTTAAACCATATATATATATATATATATATATATATATATATCTATATATATATATAACTTGTGAACGAGGACAACGACTCTCATCAATTTCATAAACTTCAAGGCAGAGATTTAAT